CGTCTTTCTCTCTCTCTCTCTCTCTCTCTCTCTCACACACACACACACACACATACACACACACACACACAATTAGTTGTCACACACACACACACACACACACACACACACACACACACACACACACAATCAGTTGTCTGTTTGTCTGTTTTCCTGTTGTTGTTTGTCCTCCCCCTAGTCTTTTTCTAAGTGTTTTTGCTTACCCAAACTGAGCACCCTTAAGTAGTGCCAAACAGTCGGTGGTTCCTCGTTTTGGAGTGCCTACTGCACTCTTATGGGGGCCGCTCGGTTCGGGATGTCTGTGTTGCCTGGAGGTGATGACGGATGCTCGTCGGGGTGTCTCCCTGGCTCAGTGGGTGGTGGGAACCAACAGTCTATAGGGATCAATCGTGATGTGAGTAGGTCATGCGCTGCTTTGCTCCGTGTTGGATGTGTGGACTACCTCGTCTGTGCACCACCGCCACCTTGCTGCCTGTCCCGCTTACTTTGCATGTTGCTCTCTGCAAGTTGTTGTGTTCGCTGTGTGGTGTGGCTGTGTTGTCGGCGTTCTCTTGCACTTCGCTGCACCGCTGCCTTGCTTCCGATCCACTGGCCGTGCCTTCCGTGTTTCCGCGCTGCGTGCCATGTCTTTCCTGGCAGTCGTGTTTGGCGTTGTGCAGCCGTGTTGCTTCTACTGTGCTGTGCTCCACAGGGTCGCCGCCCGCTGCTATGTTCCGCTTGGGGACAGTCTACCTTCAACAAGGGTCGAAGGGTTCATGACCCAAACCATCTAATACAGAGATTCCCGCAGATTGTCGAGGGTTCAGCCTCCTGTTGAGTCGGTGCAATTCCGACGAAACATCTTGTCATCATCAGTTTTATTATATTATATTATTTTTTTCAATCTTTGCCTTGTTTATACTTGTATTTTTTTTGGGTGTTGTTTTTGCATCGTGGTCATTTGTCTTGCTGTTGACAAGGTTTCCCTCGCCGCCTTACGCTGTTTGCTTGCCCATCCGTCTACCTTATGCCTTTCACCCAGTATGCTTTGTTGTTTTGTGTTGTTTGCCTGCCCACCCTCCTCCCCCATGCCCTCCAGCCTATATGCTTTGCTACCTCGTGCTGCTTGCCTGGCGCCATGTTGTCTGTCTGCCCTCTCGCCTCCCTCATGCCCTCCAACCCATGTCCTTTGCTTCGCTGTTGGTTGTGCCTTGTTGTTGTTTTTTCGAGCTACCATCTGCCTAAATGACTTGCCTGGGTATATTGAGGTTCTAGCCTGTGAATGTATGAGGGCATTAGGGATAGTGGTGGAGTGTATTCTGTGTCATGACGGTAGGTGGAGTGCATGTTTATCATGTGCAGAGGCCACCGTAATATGTGTTTACACACATCATCATCACACACACACACAAACAATAACGCGTTTGCGCGTTTGTGTGATCGATGGGGTTTGACATCGTTCTTCATAAAAGGTTGGTTGGGATAGAACATGTGTTCTTGGTCTCTTGTTCCGCTTCGGATTGTTTGCAACACTGTGGTAGACTGTTGCATTACAATTTACCGTACACCAAGGATGGCATGATGACAAGGTCAAGTTTCGTACGTCATAGAACTTCTCTTATTTGAGACCACTGTCAATAACTGACGCCTTTTCCACTTCTTAATAATCCTGGCCTTTTCTGTCAGCACATCTGCTTCATAATGAAAATAGACATCTCTAGTACAGGGTAGTATGGGGATAATGAGGAGCATGACATTGTGTGTCGTGTTCTACTTTGACTGTCGTTTATTGTGTCAAACCCCATCGATGCCATGGTACTGCTGCCATGGTACTGCTGCTATGTTTTTTTGACAAGGGCGCTGGTACATACGGGCAGAAAAACGCGTGGTTGAAGGGGTGATGATAAGTATATGATGTTGCGGCGATGGGCCATCACAACGTGAATGCCCAGACTACTCATTGCATCCAATGTGGTACCCATGACTCTCAACATTCAGAACCTGTACCCCACACGGTCTCAGCCTTCACAGGTGCATTACGTCCAACCACTATTCCCCGCCTTCTGGAGAGAACGTTATTGCAACTTGCTATCCAGTTCTAGCGCCTGAACCTACCCCGATATTCACCTACATTCAACCCCCGGACCATGAGAAAGGGTGTCGAACATCTCTCTGCCAACAGCGGTCAAGTGTTTAAGGGAACCGATTGTTGTCTCTGCGATCACCGGTCCAATTCCACATGGGTCTGTATATGGATCCTGGCCAAAGCACTTATCAAACCATGAAATGTTGGAATGAATGAGGGGCAATCTCAAAAGATAGACAAAAGGCAAGCTAAGCAACGTACCAAATACCGCGTCAGAGTCATCCATACAATACTCATGCCAAAACTCCCTCAACTGAAGCTTGGCAAGTACTTCCAGTCAGATACATTCAGGAAATTACAATTTGGACAAGAAGGCGTTTAATATCTCCAGAGTGAGGCTATCTGATTGCCATTCCATGAAGCTACGACCCTACCATCAGGCGACTGTAGTGTTTGACATGGTAATGAGAGGCCCCAAATGAACAGGAAAGCCATGTGCAGGAACAAGAAAGCCATTCGAGCCTCTCACTCATAAGAAGGGCACACACACACACACACACACACACACACACACACAGAGAGAGAG